CATTGACAGATGCTGCACATACTCGTTTTATTGTGCGAGGCAGATTTTATGTTGTGTTTTCTGTTTTGTTTTATAGCACAAAGTGATTTTTTTAAAACTATTTTTGCAGGTAGGTGAAAGGGACTGGCTGGAGGTACGTTCCCCCCATTGTTTGGGACTGCCTGAGACTCCCAAGGAGGGCAGGGCAACTGAAGCTCTACCCTTACCCTTGATTAATTTGGGAACATTGCAGGCTGTTCCCTTTCATCATCAGGTATTGAGGGGAAAGTGCACCGTTTGCTGCACTCCTCATTCTGGCTGGGAAGTGCATGGGGCAGACGAACTTGGGCCTCCCCAGCTGGGGGACATGCACTCCTCCTCCAGCTGTGCCCACGGGAGCTGCAGCAGCCATGGAGAAGTGCTTCTTACTAGGGAAGTTAAGTAGTGGTTAATTAGCTAATCGAGTAGTTGGTGCAATTTCCATCAACTACTCCATCAGTAATGGGGGGGCACTTGCTACCACTGCTGCGGCTCTGCATTTTAAAGGTAGTAAGAACCGCTGGGCTCTTACTACATTTGAAGTGCAGAACCGCAGCGGGGATAGCTGCAGAGATGGAGTGAGCTGGGACTGAACAGTCCCTGCTTGTGCTGGCTCTGGGACTGCTGCGGCTCTGCCTCCCCGTTTCCCCCCGCCGGGACGGTGCTGGGTGGAATTGGCTTTTAATCTGGCTCCCCCACCTCCTCATTCCTGGCTGCAAGGTGCTTCAGTGAGAGAGTACTGGGGTTGTCCTCTGTCTCCGGGACAGTCTGCAAACTGAACCCCTCATCTCTAGCCCCACCCCAGAGCCATGATGTAAATGAAGCATATATGTTTTCATTTTATTTTCCAAAAACTGAAAATGTATTGGGTTAAGGACCGGAGCAACACCGAGTAAATCTTCTAGTGCAAAATATTTTAGGAGAAGGACTGAAGAATAGCTTTGCCAATTGAAGGGTAGAGCAAGGGGAACTTTATGTAGAATTGCCCTAGTTGGAATCTGGTTAATATTCTCGTTCCCTTTTCAAAAGGATTTTAAGATCTTTTCTGTTGCTCTGAATCATTTCATTTTGTCTCCCCTCTGGTAGATATGCTCAACAATTCAAATAATTATTATTAATAATACTTAGCTCGTATGCAGCATTTTTCACTAGATCTCAAAGCACTTCACAAATTTTGTGCCATGCCTATTTCTTATAGGGCCAAATTCAAACTAGTGGTTGGAGATAGGCTCCATTGTCTACACTGAGGGATCGTCTACATTGAGAAGTTGATTCAGATTAAAGTAGCATGCAGATTTAAAGTTACCCTGGAATAAAAGCATCTACACTAGGGATGCAAAATCCTGCTGGGCTAGAGCTCCATTTCCCGCCTGCTGTGGCCAGGCAGCCCTCCACCTTCCCCTGCTGTTGCACCTCCTCTACCCTCCCGTGCACGCCTGCTGTTCACATCCCTAATCTACAGCTGAAATTAATCTGGAATAGCTATTTCAGAGTAATTTCCTGTGTAGAAAAGCCCTTAGTGTTTTGCTGATATTAACACTGCTATCCTGTGACAGAATGTGGAAGTGTGCTGTATTGTGTCTTTGAGACAGGGAGTTGTCAGTCTGCTTTTCCTTCCTTCTACTAAGACATTCAAGGGAAGGTCTATAGACTGTCTGTTTTGAAGACAGGAGGCAGAAAATGCCTTTGGAAAGGCTGGACTCCACACCCCTGTTATGTGACTGGGTTGAATCAAATTTTGCAGGTTCTGTTGACACTCTTTTCTGCCTACGTTAAATTATTTATGCTTTATTTTTATAAAACTTGTCCCCTTGCTCACTGCAATTGCATTTTTTGTTCCAGTGAGTTATTACACCAGTTTATATAATGTCATTAGTGAAATAGGCTGCTGTAGCATACCGCAAAAGCGGTGATCTCAACATTGACAATTTCATAACTGTGCAGTACAGAGGACACTGTATCAGCATACTGAACTAATGAGCTGTCTTAACAAGGCAGAGAATCCTTAGCTCTGAGAGATAGGGAACGATGCTTAAGTAGAGAATCTGATCTGCTGAAATTCAAGATTTTCCTCTCCCTGCCTTTGTAGCCTTAAAAGGGTCTAGTAGGGGTAGAGAGGCAGGCAGCTCTGCAATGGGAGAGGAGGCAGTGGAAATGCTGCAAAATAAAGGAACCTTTACCTATTTTTATTATGCAGCCCAGCCTTTTGTCATTGGTACAATTAAGGTTGTGAGACATGCTTTGTGTGGCCATGCCAAACAGTTTCTGTTAGTGTTTTGCATTGGGCACAACATCCCCTCCACCAAGCCTGGAAATATATGAATGGAGAAGACAGGACAATGCTTTTAGGATTTTCTGAGAAGCAAAGGCTAATGGAGGGAGCTGGTCTGACTTAGGTTGACAGGCTGGTATCTACCCAGGGCCTCAAAGATTCTTGACTCTCCTAACTGATCTTAAGAAATGTGACTCAGGTAGGAAGTGAGACTTTCTCTCCCTGGTTGTAGCTAGTAGCATAGTGGGTAGGCAGGCCTTTGGATTGGAGAAGGCCTGTTTTCAAGTCCCTGCTTTGTCTGAGTTTGAAGCAGGAACTTCACCCCAGACCTCCCACTTTCCAGCTGAGTGCCCTAAGCACAAGGCTGTTGGATATTCTGAAAGGCGATCTCTCTCCTGTAAGATCTGTTCATCTTATATAACTATTCATTGGGCTAGAGAATCAGAGACTATATCTGTAGCAGGAGTGGGCAAACAGCAGCCCTGGGCCAGATGGGGAGCTATGTGGCTCCCACCCTGGCCCCCTGCATTTAAATGTATAACCGTTGTAAATGTCATGTTTACAAAATTAAATGTACTTTAACATCCCTATTCTCAGCTAGGGGTATGCATTACCCATGGGGTATACAAAGCTCTTCTGGAATATTCAGATAATCTAATCTAGATCGGTGTTTTTCAACCTGCAGCCTCCAGCCCTCCTTCCCCCAGCATGGGGTCTTTGGATGGGTTTAGGGTAGGCATGTCAAACAGGCATCTGGCGGGCCACATGTGGCCTGATCAAAGTTACATTTTTATAAAAGAATAAAGTGCTGGCTGCTCTGAGCATGTGGCCAAGTGCAGATCACAGCTGGCCGGCCGCTCTGCACACGGCAGCCAGCACATGCTGCCGGCCACTCTGCGCGCAACATCAAGCGCCTGCTCACAGCCGGCCGCTCTGCTCATGCACTCCAGTGCCTGGAGGAAGAAGTGTGGCTGCGGCGATGGTGGCTCTGGGACCCAGGCATTAGGTTGGAGGGGGGGCTGGGAGTGCTTGGCTCTGGGGGAGGGGTGAGCCATTAGGTTGGGGGGAGCTAGGGATGCCTGGCTCTGAGGGAGCATGGGGGATATTTTGCTAATATTTTGTTTTTTATTTATTTATTCCCAAATAGCATCACAAAATGTATTGTATTAATTTTATAACAATAAATATGTATTTTTTGCAATCATGTGAATAATTATGTTTATGCAAAATCTCAAACTTACAAAGTATCTCAAATGTTCACAGAAACCTGTTCTATTTGATTAACCACTGTCTATACTTGTTTTTATTTCAACAAGTTATGTATCATATACAAAATTAAAAAGTATCTTAAATTTATAATAAAATATATATGGAGATCTACCTATCTCATAGAACTGGAAAGGCCCTTGAGAGGTCATTGAGTCCAGTCTCCTGCCCTCATGTCAGGAGCAGGTATCATCCCTGACAGACTTTCCTCAGATCCTTAAGTGACCCCCTCAAGTATTGAACTCACAATCCTGGGTTTAACAGGCCAATGCTCAAGCCACTGAGCTATCCCTTTCCTGCTGTATTATTTATATATGAGTAAATAACAATTTTACACATCAAATTATTGTATTATAGTCAAACAAGACCTGAAAAATATTTAAAAATATACCTAAAATATAATCTATAGTAATAAATAATTATGAGTTTCCAGTAGGAGTATATTTTCTTTGGTGGCCCTGAAAGGTATCAGTTTTTATTTGTGCAGCCCTCAGTAGGCTTTGAGTTTGACATACCTGTTTAGGGGATCACAATTGAAGGCCAGCACTCGGGGATGTCAAACAGGACAGTTGCCTGGGGCTGCACACCACAGGACGCTCTGTAAAGATAAGTTGCATGGCACAGTCTCACCATCTGGGGCTTAGGCTTCAGACAAAGCTCACAAAAGAAAAACAGGCTCAATTACTACACTGAACTGTAACTACAATATTTATATTCCAGGCAATTTATTTTGTAATTGTATTGTAAAAATGTGAAAGTATAAGCAGTAATAGTGTGCTGTGACACGTTTGTATTTCTAATGTCTCATTTTGTAAGAAGGTTGTTTAAGTGAGGTGAATCTTGGGGTATTAAGATAAATCGGACTCCTGAAAGGATTACAGTAATCTGGAAAGTCTCAGAGAGGTAGCAGTGTTAGACTGTAACTTTAAAAAAATCGAGTAAGTAGTCTTGTGGCACCTTAGAGACTAACAAATACACTATAGATATAGATATAGTTATAGATATTGTATCATGAGCTTTCATGGACAAAACTAATGCCACCAGAAAGTCTTTTGATTTTTCTCAAAAAACTGCAGCAAGTGCATAAAAATGTGTATCACCATATGATAGTATTTTCCTTAACCACACTATATTTGACCTCTCAATGACTTTTTCTCCTGTAGCTCTTGTTTTAGAGGATATTGCCTTAATAATACTTTCGGAGCAAATTATGATGTCTTTGAAAATGAGATCTTTTGGATCAAAGTTTCTTTTCTTTAATTTTTTTTAAACTTATTGTATGCTTAATTCTTTGCTCAATTTTCCCTTAAGTAAAACTGCAGAATTAAATACAAGAATGTCTTCTGCTCGAGGAAGAACTTCACACTTGAAACTCATCAAACATGGAAAAAATTCCTTAGAATTACTGTTCTTTGAAAATAATCTATATATATTTTAAATGCAGGTTTTGACTGGATCATCTCGTCAAGGTTACCCAAGTACAGGCTATCAGGATTTCAGTAATTGGGAATCTCTTATGAAAATCAAAGAAGGGTTGCTAAGACAGAAAGAAATTGTGATTGATCGGTGAGTAATCCTTTCTTGCCTTCAATTGCAGAGTTAAGTAATAGATCTGACTATTGACATAGAAAATACTATAGAAGCTGACTTTCAAAAAGACCTGGTTTAAAGAAAGTTTTTAGGTCTCAGAACTGCAAAGACTAATGCAGAAGTCAATAGGACCTAGTTTGTGTGTGCAATTAAATGTATGTGTATCTTTGCAGGATCAGGGACTTTGTGTAAATGGTCTTTTCACTGACCTTATTCCAGAGACAGGAAAATGAGACCACCACTAGGATTGTTGCCCACCAAAAAGAAATCTGTAAGAAACTGACTGGTCATAAAACCTTAATTAATTTTGTCAGCCTGTACAATTCCTTGACTTGGAAGACAAAAATTCCTGATTTGTAGCCCATTCTTTAAAGATTTTTTCCCTATGAAAAGTTACTGGGAATGGATGCTATAGTTGTTAAATTATATAGTCATACCCAACTCTTAACAATTTGAGAAATTGGCACTGTAGACAAGCACTTGGTAAAAGTGAATTTAAAGCTCCCTGTGAATTACTCAGAATGATACATTCAGAATAAATGTCTAGATAAACACTTCCTTTGTAATCTGTGGTGTGAAACAGCTCTTCAAGTCTGAGAATGTAAACTGCCTTGCGTTGGCTTAGCTATGAAAGTGTCTTCACTTAAATTTTGCTCCTGCTGATTGTAAGTGCCTCTTTACACTGATTTAGTAACATCACTTCCCTAAGTGGTGTAGAGTTATGGTTGATGTAATTTGGTTGATGCAATGTCAGTGTTGCTTACGTTGACTGTTACTAACTTTCAGGAGCTATCCCACAATTCCTTACATTGACATTACAGTCGACACAAGTGCTCCTTTGAGGACCCACATTGGAGACAAAAAGAGTCAAGTGTGCACATACACAAAGAGATTTAATTAACTGCAGTGGTTGAATGATGGGTTGACATAATTTTGTAGTGTAGGCTAACTCAAAGTGTCACTGCTAAATACATTTGAACCTCTTCAATCTGTCAACTGTGGGAAATAGTCTGTGCCAGATTATGGAATTTTCCAGTGAATGGGTGCTCACCATAATGAAGGGTGCTGAGTGTGGGGTGTGGGCCTGGAAGGGAGGGAGAGTATGTGAGGTGGGTGGGGTTTGGGACACTTACCTTGCCTCCCGCTCCCAGGGGAAAATGTGGCTCTGTGCCTCTTGTGGCTTCCAGGCATTGTCCCCTGCTTCTATGGGAGTGATGGGGAAAAGCCTCCCAATCGTTGCTACGCTCTACTGCCATTCCCCCCTCTGTGGAGTAGAGGGAGTGGTAATGCACAGAGCCACTTCCTTTTCCATGGATATCCGAACCACGGGTATTCCCAGTTCACGGATGCCCAAATTCGGGAGATGCAAGTATATAAGGTTTGAGGAGATTGTTTAGCATAAATAGTTAATGCCTTTCAAGGGACCATAAAGAGGAAAGGGGAGGGGAAAATCAGATGGGGGATGTTGCCGGACTACACACTTTGCCATAAATCTAATGTCTCTATTTAGTCCATGATTTTTTAGTGTATAGGAAAGTTATGAATGTAAGCTCCTGGGCTCATATGAAAGTGTTGACCAGGTTTGAGGATGAGGACTGATAGTGCAGATAGAGTGATCACTTTGTGAAAAGTGTACACCCACAGGTGATATGGTTGGTTTTTTTACATTTATCATTTTTCTGAGAGAGTTCATTCAAAAGTTTAGTGATTTTCTGGTTTCACCCATGTAATTGTACTAGGACATTTAGTGCACTAGAAGGGGTACATTACATATTGTGTTAGGCAGGTGTAAGAGTCAGTCAGGTTCTTGAAAGGTCAAAAGTCTGCAGGTTTTGCATCTGTTGAGTAGCAATCTACAGTTGAATGTTATTTTCTAGGTTTGTAGCACTTTCTGAAGTTTCTGATGTTTGGCTGAATTAAGACTTGGGGGAGAAAAAATGCTTTTAATGAAAAATCTTAAATTTAATGAAGCTCATGTTAAAGGAAGAGATTAGGGGTCGCCAGGTGGTTTAAAAATACCCCCTCCCCCCCAAGAAAACATGGGGAAAAAATTCTGTCTGGGGGGAAAAGGGGGGGGAGGGGAGAGGAGACCAAAGTTGTTAAGCAAAAGTTGCACCACTGCCTCCAGTTTGGGGCCACACACTAACCCCCAATGCACCCACCCCTCTCCCCGAGCCAGGACTCCCCTTTCCCCCCATCCCAATGCACTCACCCCTGCCTCAGAACCAGGCTCCCCTCAGCAGCCCCCATCCCCGTGCACTCACCCCTCCCCCTGAGCCAGGCATCCCCAGTGCCGGGAGCGCCCCGCCTCAATCAGATCCCTCCCCCTCCTCCCGCAGAGCCAGGCTAAGGAGGAATGGGACAGCTGGGTAAGTTAATCTTACTTTTAAAGTCACCACCACTGCTCATGCCGCCTGGCCTGGCTGCCTCGGCTCACATTGTGTAGAGGGAGGCATCACGTGACCAGCTCCTGGGTCTCTGCTGGTCACGTGGGCCAGAGCAACATGCACTCCACTCCCACCCCAGCCCGGTGCCCCCCTAGTGTGGCTGGGGCCCAGACACTCCCGTCCCCGCCAGACGTGGCAGGAAAAATTGTCCCCGCCGTGCTTCCGTCCGAGGGAAACAGGAAATACTGGACACTTCATATGTCCAGTATTTTCTGTTTTTTTACTGGACGGAGCCCACAAATACCCGACTGTCTGGGTGAATACCGGAAACCTGGCTACTCTAGAAGAGATGTGAGCCCGATTCACGAAATTCACTCCCGTCCCCGCCAGACGTGGCAGGAAAAATTGTCCCCGCCGTGCTTCCGTCCGAGGGAAACAGGAAATACTGGACACTTCATATGTCCAGTATTTTCTGTTTTTTTACTGGACGGAGCCCACAAATACCCGACTGTCTGGGTGAATACCGGAAACCTGGCTACTCTAGAAGAGATGTGAGCCCGATTCACGAAATTTGGAGCTGAATGCCAAAGAGCATTTGGAAACTGGGATTTTGGTTTCTGTCCATCTAATAAAGTACTCGTACCTCTGAGGAAATGGAAACCTGTGTGGGCTGTACTAATTGTGAAGCGTTTGAAATCTCTTATTAACAATTGATTTGCAGAACATAAATAATCATATAAGATTATGGGCTAACGACAGGAATGGTGGATTGAATATCTTATGCCTTATTATTTAATGCCAATGGCTCTTTTCTTGTCATGCATTCATGTAGCTCGTTTAGACTAGGGATGTGACTGGTTAACCTGTAAGCATCACCCTTCCCGGGTGATGCTTACTGGTTATGGTTAACTGGTGGCCTGGCTGGTTCAGCGGGGGTGCAGCTCCAGCACAGCAGGACTGGAACAGCTCCCTGCCCATCCACGGTGTGGCACAGTGGGCTTGGCCTAGCCAGAGTAGCCCCTGAATGTGGCAGAGGTCTGCTCCAGAATGGCTAGTCCGCCACACCATGCTGTGGGCTGGGGGTGCTTCAGCCCAACTGGGCCCAACATGCCACGGGCAGGGAGCGCAACAGCCTGAGTGAAGCAGCCCGTCTTCAGTAGGCCTTGTCTGGGCAGAGCACCCCACCATGCCTCAGGCAGAGATTGCTCCAGTGTGGCCAGAGCAACCCACCCCTGCTGTGGAGGGATGATCCAGCCTGGCCCACCTCCATTTAACTGGTTAAATAGGATTTTACTTCCCTAATTTGAACACAGTTTACTTCACACCCAATAGAATTATGTCCCATACATATTCCATCCCAGTGGAATGATCAGTTTACTGATTTTCCTTTGTCATAGTCAAAGACTAGGTACTGTTTTCTGTGAGCCACTATCCTCCCTAATAAAATACGATAGTGTAGATTACGCAATGCAGGAAAAACTCTCCTGTGCTTGAAAACCTCCTCTGCATCTTTCTTATTTTGGGCTATTCCAGTGGCAGGAGAGGCTTTGGGCATAATTTACATATGCCTTAGGGAGCGAGCAGGGGCTTTCTAAATGACGGCAGTCTCCCCCATTCATGTGATGTGCAGCAGTGCTGCTGAGCTAGAGCAGTGCTATGGGTTAGGGCAGTGTTTCTCAACCAGTGGTACTAGTATCCTTAGGGGTACTCGAGAGAGGTCTGTGGGGAGGGGAGATACATCAACACAACTAAAATTTGGAGAAAACTGAATTTTTCTTTTAAGTTTTACAGCGCTTTATTATTTTTATACTTTTTACACCCAACAATTTCATCGCCTACCTGGCTATGATTAAGTTGTTTAAACAAATGTATTGCAACAATAGAAAATAATTTTTGTGCGTCTCAAAACTGTAGGTACTGGGGGTGCTTATAATTTTTTTTAAAGGGGTACTTTATTAAAAAAAAGGTTGAGAAACACAGGGCTACAGCCCCTCTCCTGACACGTCGCTCCTCCTTCCAGCACACTCTCTGCTACATCAGCACGTCTGTGATGGTGTTCTTGGAGCACAGACTATGGCTCTCTCTCAGTGCTGTGACAGAGGATTTTTTCCAAGCCCCTTTATACCATTTTGGCCATCTTAGCTGGCATTTTACCTTCTGTGTTTAGGTTTTAAGAGAATGGCAGCTAACATTGCTTTCATATTTCTACATTTCTTCATTCCTCTTCTGTTAAACATCTCATTATCACAACTATTCATGGACTTTCATTTGACTGAAATGACAGTTTGAATTCTAGCTATCTGATTGTGTTACTTGATGTCCATCCCTGAAAACATTTTTAATCTGTTTACCACAATGGCAAAAAAATCTGACTACAATGTACAGTAATTCTCAGCCCCTTTTCCTCTGTAGCAATGTTTCATTTAGTTCTCTTCCTAAATGTTCTGTTTGCACTGATGACAGGCAATACAGGTCTATTTGCATCTCTTAGAAAAGACTTTTATGCTGATTACTTTTCATTCAATTAAATGTGGTAGACTGTATAACGGAAGCTATTAAAGATGCATAACAAAACCGTAGTCAGTTTAT